TGGAAAGGGCTGGGACGGGGCTGTTATAGAGAAGGGTTCTCAAGCTTGGCGCTGTTCTGCACTGGATGATTTGTGGTGGGGGCTGTCCTGTGCTTTGTGCTATTAATGTCCTGGTCTCTGCCCACTAAATGCCAGTAACACAGGGGCGCCTGGGGGGCTCAGTCAGCTGAACGTCCGACTTCGGCTCAGGTCACGATCTCACGGTTCGAGGGTTCGAGCCCCGCGTCGGGCTCTGTGCTGACAGCTCGGAGCCTGGAGCCTGCTTCGGATTCTGTGTCTCCCTCTCTGCCCCTCCCCTACTCACACTCTGTCTCTCTCTGTCTCAAAAGTAAATAAATACTAAAAGAATTTAGAAAATCCTGCTTAATGCAAAAGTCACTATAAATTGAAAGCGATCAGGAAATACCACTTTTCTCTCTATCTGGTTATGCATGTCCGTGCTGAATATTTCCTAGAGACAACATCCACAACAACCAAAAAGCACCAGGTCTAATAGAGGTGTGACCAGATTACGATGGAGGGAAGGTCTAACTAATTCTGCTTGCTGAGGGATAATATTTGAGCTGCTTCTTGAAAATGAGCAAGAGTTTTAAAGTCAAGTCACTAAGAATAGGCATCCCGGGAAGGGTGGGAGATTGGGATGAGGGGGGGAGGGGGCAAATGCATGGTACATAAAGTGCAGAGAGCAAGACAGAGAAAGGCACCTGGGGTAACAGTGGGCCAACGAGTGATGGAATAGAGTGGATGGAACAGAGCAGATGGAAGAGGGTGGATGGTAAGCCTAAGAGGCTGCCTGGCTTGTATGAAGCCTATTATTTCACCTTCTCCTGATGGGTACGTTCTGCTAATGGCGCCACGGACATCATTCTCTACCCTGAGCAAGGGAAGGCAGAGCTGTCTGCAAAGCTGCAGAGAACACCCTACGTACGAGATTCAAACGGGTTTCCAAAATGTGGATCTGTTTTTGCAATTTCCGGGGGTCATTGGCTTCTTGTATCTTTGCGAAAATCTGTTTTTGGTTTATAATTTTTTTTTCCATCTGAACAATCTGGAAAAAAAAAGGAGAGAGAGAGAGAGAGAGAACCCCCTCAGCTGTGTTAAATTAACATCTGTATGGGTACAAATTTTACAGTTCATTAACGTAAGTGTGCTAAAATAAAAACTGCAATGTTCTTTCTTTTCCTACAAAAGGATTTTTCATTTCTCTCTTGAATCCATGCTCAACTCAACTTAATCTTAGCCAGTTTGGGGTAAAATTAGGCAATTGAGAGGTTTTGTTTTTACCTGTGCATGTGAATTTCACTCACCTTTTGGATGGGTATCATTTCACATGTGGCCAAAAGCATTCCTAACACACCATACGCTTTCTGCATTAGGATCATTGATTCTGACTTTAGAGAAGTGAAATACACCCTTGCCACGGTGGGCAGGAGAGAATTTTGGTGTTTCTATCTACCTTTGTAGCTCCAGCCAAGTTCTCCAGACCCGAACATAACCCCCACCTCCACCCCCACCATCACCGTCCCACAGAGCTCACTCTGTAGTTTCTCCTACAAGTACCAGCGGATCATGTCATTTCCTCACACCACTAGCAGGTGCATAACCAGCCTGCCATAGGGCTTTAACCCCACCCATGCAGAGATCCATATTACCTGCCCACAGCTCAGCCCCATCCAGAAGCAGCTGGCTAGTGCTAAATCCTAGAAGGTTCTAGAGAAGTTCATAGAACTGTTATCCGGGGGCACCTGAGTGGCTCAGTTGGTTGAGTGTCTGACTTTGGCTCAGGTCAGGATCTCGCAGTTCGTGGGTTTGAGTGCCACATCGGGCTCTGTGCTGACAGCTCAGAGCCTGGAGCCTGCTTCGGATTCTGTCTCCCCCTCTCTCTCTGTCCCTCCCCTGCTCACACTGTCTCTCTCAAAAAATAAATAAAACATTAAAAAATTAATAGAACTGTTATCTGAAGACAAGTGGGTGCCAGGTCTTAATGTGTTAGAGGTACTTTATCTTCTTAGAGTTTGAGCTGAGATGAAGCTCTGAGACTTTTTTTTAACCCTGGTGGGTGAAAGGTGGGGGCGCTGTCCTTTAAAGCAATTTGATATGTTCCTGTTTGTCTGGAGGTATTAGCTTGAATTTACCATCTGAAGCCCAGCTCCTGTCTGGAAATTGAGAAGTTCCGGATGAGAGGGGTTAAGTGCTTGGTGTAATGAAATATAAAGTTTGTCAGCCTACATGGAGGCTGGCTTCCAGCTGGGAGCAAGACACCCCTGTGCTGAGCTAGGGCTGATGAATTTTGGGAGCAATAGCATCTGGGGCTCTATGTTAGTGTCCCTGAGATGTGGTTTCCTTTGGTCATTGCCAAACCTTCAGGAAGTCTATACAGCACAGTCTCAGTTATGATTGTGGAACACTGAAAGAAAAATCTATACTAGAAGTTGCAAACTATAGCCAGGCAGGTGACATAAATGAGTAAAGTGGGCCCACTATACAGGCCGGTGGGGAATAGAAAACTGGAGCACATACCCCTACCTTAAGAGACAGCAACTTGGATCATGCAACTATAAGTTATAGAAAATGCAACTAAATAGTGGCTCAAACAAATTATGGTTTCTCTTTCTCTCCATATATATGGCTAGCTTAAGTTGAATAACTCAAGGAAGTAAACACAAGAGCTCTGTAATTCACCTGGCCTTTCCCTTATGGTCAAAAAATGGCTGCCACTGCACCAGCTTTCACAGTTATATTCCAGGGAGGAAGGTGGAAGCAGCAACATGGATACATGACTAGGACCTATATCTAGAAAGCAAAACTTTCTGACACCTCCAACACACTTCCCCTCAAATTTTATTGTCCACCTTTAGCTGCAAGGGAGGATGAGAAACAGAGCTCTTTAGGAATCTGTAAGAGAGGAAGAAGTAGAGAGTGGGTTAACAGCTGTGGTGTCACCACAACACCATTTAGTTGTGGTTGTCCCATGCAAATTCAGGGTCAGTGCTGCCAAATCATTCCATCTTTTTATTTAAGCCAGATATCCAAATTTTTACATGAAATCTTTCAATTTTAACATGTTAACTAATTAAAAGAAATTTTAGACACTGACTGGGCCAAAGCCTTTATGTTGTCAGGCTTAATCTGTCTTGAAGACCACCAATTTGGTCTACACCCACATTTAATCTTGAAGAGACCACGGTACTCTGATGAAAGACGGTTTTAGGCAATGAGAGATACCAAGCAAAGGACGAAGAGTGTTCCAAAGTCAGGTGGCTGTAAGAGGCATCAACAGCCAGAACTGTAGCGGACATGGTGGGTGGTTAGGCCCCCAACCCCCATCCCACCCCAGAAGACTGATCCAAGTCACCTGTGGTAATTCTGTCCCCTGTCTATGATTTATTCATTCATGGTTGGACAGGACTAAACCACTTGGGGCCTCTGAATTGAGCAGGGTGATTGCTAGGGAAGCTTCTGGAAAAAGTTTCCTCATTTCCTAAAAATGTTATAGGAAAAGATAGTCTGTGTTCTGTGTGAAAGTCATTCTTTTCTGGAGGACCATAAACAGACCAGATTGAGCTCTCACACCATAATTTGCTGCCCCTGGTCTAGCCCCAAAGCAATTATAGAAATTTCATTTCCTTTGGCCAGTGATTGGCCTAGAAATAGCTATATACCCTAGCCCAGGCCAATGAGGGAAAATCAGCTGAAGAGATTTGGTGAAATATTCTCTCCCTCATAAGTAAGAATATCATGTAAGAACCAGCTCTCCATCCTCCATCCTTTCTTCATATCTTTGAATGTGATTCTGTGAGAAGCTATACGAGCTAAGCTTTGGCAGCCATCTTGTGACCATGAGGGGAGGGCCAACCAAGAAGATCAGAGAGAAAAAGACCAACCCGTCATTGTAGAGCTACTAAACCATCTCTGGGACAACCATTCCCCAGACAGATATCTTATTACATGAGAAAAACAAACTTCTATAGCCCACCGTGTTCCCACTGGTTCATCAAGCAAGATGGCAGCCCAGATGATCGGGCATCAAGGGAACCTCTGGGTCACACGCAAACTTGTGAGGCACGCAAACACTGTTGACGATTGATAGTAGCCAAGCTTTGCTTCAAGTCAAGTCAGATCCCCGTTCTAGTCTCTTCTCCTCTCTTGTGCTGTGCACAGGAAGCTCCCTCAACCCCAAGCCCCACGAACTCACCTATAATGGCTCGTTCTAATACATGGAAGGGCAGCATCTGCAGACTGAAGCATTGCCTGCACTGACGGGATGCCCTGCCCTGCCTGAGTTGACTCAGAGACCTCAGGCTTCAGCTCCTGGCCTGAGGTGTGGAGGAAGGTGTGATGTCAACACTTCCTGGTGGCTCTTGTCATTAAATTCAGGCTCCTGTCAGCACATGTACCCCAATGTTCACAGCAGCACTCTCCACAATAGCTAAAACATGGGAAGAGCCTAAGTGTCCATCAACAGATGAATGGATCAAGAAGATGTGGTTTATCTATACCATGGAATACTACATGGCAATGAGAAACAATGAAATCTGGCCATGTGTAGCAACATGGATGGACCTTGAGGGTGTTATGCTGAGCGAAATAAGTCAGGCAGAGAAGGACAAATATCATATGTTTGCACGTATAGGAGGATTAGGAGGAACTTGACGGAGGAACAAGGGGGAGAAGAAGGGCGGAAATGGTGGGGGAAAGGGAGAGAGGCAAACCATGAGAGACTCTTGAATGCCGACAAAAACTGAGGACTGATGGATGTGGGGGGGAGGGGGGGATGGGCATGGAGGAGGACACTTGTGGGGATGAGCACTGAGTGTTATGTGGAAACTAATTTGACAATAAACTATTTGTAAAATAAATAAATAAATAAATAAATAAATAAATAAATAAATTCAGGCTCCTGTCCCTTTGGCATCTTTAGGTCAGGTGTTGCCTTTGTGATGCTGAGAGTAATCAGGCCTCTGGTGGGAAACATATCCGAGGCTGCTCCCCCAGAGGAATGCGTTGCCTACGCAAGTGCTCTCTCCAGCATGAAGGCATTGGCTTATTTGATTCTTGAGGCCAGGCGGAGCCTGCTGAGGTCCCTGCCTCCAGTGATCTCTTGCCAGGAAGCAGCTCTGGGCATTGTGTGGTGGTGGGCACAGCAGGAGGGGACGCTGGGCAAGGAGGGGTTTTGTAGAGGGCAGCGAGCACCATATTCCTTTGAGGCTTCCAAAGTAGGCTGCCCTTTCCTACTGTTTCTGAGAACCCATGTCCCCATCTATTCTTCAATTTTCCTCTTTTTTCACTGCTATTGCCTCCTTTCTTATTCATTCATTCATTCATTCATTCATTCATCAGTGATTATTAAGCACCTGCTCTGTGCCAGACAACAGGCGTATGCTGGTAATCAAGACACCATGATGGCCCCTGGCCTCAACACGAACTTATAATTTAGGACTGGAAACAAGCTATGAAGCATATTTAGTCCTAGGAAAAGGGAGATGTAAGGTATGTCGGACACGTCCAGTAGGAGCCTCTGGGGAAGAAAGGAAGGGACAAGTATCCAGAAGTTCCCCAAGCAGAGAAGATGGGGAAGGGCAATCCGGGCAGAGGGAAAGGCATGTGCAAAGGCCTGCAGGTGAGAGGCAGCACTGTGGGTTCATGGAGGTGGCCAGTGTGCATGGGACACAGAGGAGGCGGAGGGTGGAGGAGGGAAGGTAGAAGGGGCAGGAAGGACGCAGTGCGGCAGAGCCAGCAATCACACAGGGAGTCTGGCCTTTATCTCAAGAACAATAGGAAATTACTGAAGGGTTTGGAAGCAGAGGAAAGATGTGATGAGATTCCCAGATTCTTTCAGTCAGTAACTATTTATTGAGGATCTACTATGTGCCAGGCACAGGATGTACCGAGGGGAACAAAACAGACATGGTCCTTGCCCTTCTGCAGGCGACACATTACAGAGACAGAGGACACCCGTGTTAAAACATAGTTGCTGCTATGAGAAGTGCTGTGAAGGGGGTGCCATGGGATCTCATGAGGGGCTGAGGGGGCGTGCTGGGATCTTGTGTTCGACCCCCAAGGTGCACTCTCCACTCTGTGCCACGCGCCCCGCTCTGTGCCCCAGGAAGCTGACCCGCAAGGAGCCCACAATGGCTTCCTTGCACCGGGGACCCATGGGTGAGAAGAGAGAGGCCGGAGTATTTATTCCGTCTGACCTGCTCCCTGTCTTGTTTCCAGAGTGTGCCCCTTGCCCACTGCGGCTAACCCTGCAGTGCTTCAATGTCCCTACTCTGTGCCCCCACCCTTGTGGACAGTGCCTCATAAAACTCTTCTCAAAGTACCTTCCTGAGCGTACTATTTGGTTTTGGCCAGAAACCTAATTAATGCAAGGCGGATATGCTTTAAATGGGAGAGAGGGCATAGAAAGGGCCTCCCTGAAAAAGTCACACTTAAGCTGAGACATAAAGAACAGGCAGCGGGGATCAGAGGAACGTGTGCAAAGGCCCTGAGGTCAGATTAGTTTTCACATATTTCGGGGGGGAGTCTTCTGTAGCTGAGTGAGATGAGCGAAGGAAGGAGTGACATGGGATGAAGACAGAGGGGTAGGCAGGGCCTCTCAAGCCAAAGTAAAGGATGTGACCATTAACATTGTCCATCAGATGTCTCTAGCTCTTTGCCTCTGACTACATACACTTCTTCAACCCTTTTGTGGACGGGTAGAGTTGACTATTTGGGGGTGGGCATTTGGGGTGTATATGGATTTGGTAGACTATTTTGAGCCTATGGGTCATAAGCAGAAGCGATGTACCGCTTGTAGGCTGCAGCATTCAATTGCCAGTGTGAGACTTTCCAGAACTCTCTTTTTCTCTGCCACAACACCTGGCAATATGCAAGATGGTGGATACCCCATTGGCCTGGTCTCAGGGTGAGAAGCTATAAGAGCCCCTCGCCAATCCATGACAGACAGAGCAGGAACGAAGAAATCTTTGTTGCTTTAAACCACTGAGTTGTGGGGGAGGGATGTGACTGCAGTGTAACCTAACCTCTCCTGGCTGGCACAGGAAGGGCTTGAGAGTCGGCTCTAAGTGCAGTGGGGAGGCGCTGGAGAACACAGTGCAGGAACGGGGTGCGGGTCCCACGGTGGTGGAATGGCCACAGTCGCCTTTAGAATATGGGGGTGTCCGATCTGGCCTAAGGCACCGTGGGTACCCCGCCCCCCTACGTCTCCTCACTCTGGTTAACCCTCTAAGAGAAAGACCGCACCTTCTCATCCAGTTCTGCCAGCAGCACCTTCAGTGACTTAATCAGGGCCTCATAGTCCTCCTTGGTTTGCAGCAGGAAACACAGCTCCATGTAGTTTTTCTCATTCAGTTCCAAGTTCTTCGAGGACTTGATGAGACTCAGAAGCAGCGTGATCTCCTCCTGCTCTCCTTGCAGGGTCTCAATTTCCTTGCTGTTGGGAAAGCAGCACGTGATTAGCTCAGAACCCCTGAGTTCACCCCGGACGCTCCAGGCTCCTTAGCGCTGAAGCAGCCTCGGGGAGGTACTTCCCACCCCTGCAAGTGGCAGGGGCTTGTTCAAGCTCTTGGTCCGGGTCTAGAACTCTGCCTGCCTGCGACCCCGTTCACCGCCCCTTCCATGGCTCCGCCCCTCTCTTGGGGCTGGGGGCGGGGGGGGGGGTAGGCTTTGCTTGTTAGAGAACAATTTGCAGGTATGCCTGTCAACACCTAGGTTCTGGGACCACGTTCTCTTTGGCCAGCAGCTCAGGGGCATCTATCTGAACTTGCTGACTTTTTTTCCGGCCAGTGATCTCTGGTAATGAGAGGCAAGCCCATCAGGCAGGCATTTTCGATTTTGCATCAATACAGAGATGTGCAGTAGCCTCCAACCTCACCCAGTTTCTCTACGCAGGGTACTAATGATTTATTAAATCAGCTGACGTGAGTCTCCTCTCTCCACCCCTCTTCTCTTCTTCCCTCCCCTTCCCCTCTCCTCTCTAAATGGCACGGAGGCCAAGTTTCTGGCAGACCAGCTGCATCCATAGCCTTTGGAAGCTTGGAAAAATACAGAAGCTCAGGACCTAACTCAGGACCTATCGAATCAGAATCTGCTCTATGACAAGATCTTCAAGTGACTCATGCACATTAAAGTTCTGGAAGCATGTTCTAGAACAGCAAAATGTTCCAGGGCTGGGGGAGGGGGGGGTGTCTGCAAACATTTTTCTATAAAGGGCAAAAAAGTAAATACTTTAGGATCCACAGGCCCAGGTGGTCTCTATTGCAACGATTCAACAAAATAACCAGAGGAGACACATAAACAAATAGGCATGGCCATGCTCCAATAAATCCTGATTTGCAAAAACGGGCAGCCGGCCAGACCTGGCCCAGGGGTCATGGCTCGTTAGCCCCCATTTTCAAGCAACACGTCCAGTAGAATTTCTGTAATGATGGACATGCTGTCTATCTGCACTGTCCCATAGACAGAATCCACCCGGCACTAGGCTATGGAGCGCTTGAAATGTGGCCGGTGCAAAGGAAGAGCTGAATCTGTCATGGTATTTTATCAGTCGCAAATGTAAATAGCCACCTGTGGGAATGTACCCTAACTGTAGAGCAGCTTGTCTTCTAACCCTGGTAACTGGGACCTTTCTCCCCATCTTAAGCCCCTCTTGGCAGGTGGAGAGAAAAAAGCACCACAGGCCACCAGCATGAAGCATTCAGAGGGCTCAGCAAGAGCAAAATGAAGGTTTGTCTGCCTTATCGGCAGGACTGGGACCAGGAGTCAGCTGTCCCCAAATTTAAGGAGGTCTTCACTCTTAGGGTCGTATAGGTGCACTTAAGGAGAAAAGCACTTCCTTAAATTTTGCATCCTAAGCACCTTACTGAGCTCGTCTCAGTTCTGGTCCCTATTTAGAGGTGTTTCACTTGAAGACTCTAAGATCTCTACTTTTCCACCCCTTCCCCTTTAAGGTCCGTCACAGTGAAACCAGATCAAATGGACTAGGGTAAAGTAGGATGAAGGTGGTACTGTGAAGGGTAAGATTCAGGAAGAACTGTCAGAGACCCACCAGGAAGGAGGCATTTCCTGATGCCCACTGGGGTAAGCTGTGAATCAGGGCTGCCTAGCACAGATGTGCAGGTTGTGGACTGCACGGCCCAAGGGAGCACCATCTGCTTAAAAAACAATCACTGATTTCTTGACTTAGTACCCTTTCCTGGGAGACACTTGTCCTAACAAAAAACCCTATGTGATGACAGTGTTTCCAACAGATGGCAGTAAAGTGTGTTGAGAAAGAGTGTCTTTTTCTAATTCTCAGGAAGATCCCAAACGGACTAGCAGTACCTCTATGTCAGTTGAACCCATAGAAAATCTAAAGAGCTGCTTTTCCCCTGCCCTCTGAACTTCACACATCATCTAACAGCAAGATTTTCTTTCTAATAATGGGCAGTTTCTGCCTGTTTAAATGTTATGGATACGGCAAAGGAATTATGCTCCCTGGACGGGAATCGAAGGATATTTGCTTCTTCAACCCCAGGGAACACCTTTCTATTGTCTAAAGAAGCTGTCCACATCAAAATTTCTAGGACAATTCAATTTCAAATATTTGATCTTGCAGATTCCATAAGGACACACAAGCAGGACACATCTTTGGGGACAGACATAGCCTGGTGATTTCCCTTCTTTGGAGAACTCCCCCACCTCCATTGCTAGAACCTTGGGGGTGACAATAGCCATATTGGAACCTATGGCCCTGTCCCTCCCCTGGGCACAGCTGATTAGGCCAGGAGTAGATACCTGACCCAAACTGAGCCAATCAGATTCCCCCTTTCCTGGGACTTTGGTCTCCCACCAGCCAGTGCTGAGATCCAGACAGGCAACAACGGAACTCGCATGCAGAAGGAAACAGAAACCAGATATGGGTTTTCACTCGGGTCCTTCCCCGAGACTTGGCTGTCCTGCTCCCCTTGGGGTCCCTGAGACACCCTAATTTTGAGAATAAATTCTCCCTCCTACTGAAACTATCCCACCTCGGTGCCCAGATTGGGCTCCGAATTGGCTCCCTGCCCAGAGGCCACATGAGAAAGTAAATCCCATGAAACCAAGTCGAAAATGTTCTCCAAGTTTACTCCGTACGACACCCTGACCATCACTTACTGCTGGTTCAAGATCTTCTGCTGGGAGCGGAAGTTGAAGGACTTGCGACTTTCCACCATCTTCCTGAACTGCTGCTTCAGCTTCCGAAGCTCGGCATCAGCCAGCTGCTCCTTGACCTTCTCTGAAGCTTCCGAGGGAGTTTCAGAGCTTTTTCTCCTGTGCTTCTTTGACTGGGTGAGACGGGGAGAGGCAGTGAGCAACGGGTTGTGTGACCAAAGAAGCCTACATTTCACCTCAAGGGCAGAGGACAGACGGTGTCTGGGGCCAGGGCTAGAGGTGGAAGACCACCCTTGGGTGATGTCAACTGCTTATGTGTTACATGGAAAACCCACTCTGGGGGTTGCCAGGGTAGAGAGGAGGCTGGGCCTCATCACTGCATACTGAAGAGGCAGCTTTGCTATGTGGTTTTGGGTGAATCACTTAACATCTCTGAGCCTCCAGACTCTCATCTGTAAAATGGGTGCATATAGATGCGTGGTTAGGGTTAGATGAGCTAATATGCCTATAGTGGCTAGCACAGTGCCTGACCCCCCAGTAAGCGCTCCGTACACAGGAGCTAATACCTACCACCGGCATCATGAAGGAATCGTGCTTTCCCTATGCTCAGACACCAGGGAGGTCGAAGCCAGCGAGCACCCCTTTCTCTCTGTCTGCAGTGTCCTGTCCACAGTGGCAAGAGGAAGAGAAAGTGTGAGCCAGCCTGCCGGCAGTGAGGGCCCCGGGGCCCCTTCTCCCTTCCCCACCTGCTGCAGTCCCTCCCTCCTCCCACCGCTTGGCACATGTGGAGGACACGGCAGATGGCTGCCCGGGTGTGAGAAGAGCCTTTTTTTTTTTTTTTAATAAGCAATGTTTGCCTGAAACCTGTTCCTCTCACAATTTATGATTAGGAGCCAGGCAGATGGTTCTGGCGAGCTGGCTGCCCTTCTGCCCTCTGTGTTCCCAAAGAAGAGGGGGCAAAGGGCATCGGGGCAGCGTGTCCTCTGATGGGGTTAAAAGGCAATTAGCCCAGCTTCAGCTTCAGCTAAGGAAAGAACACATACACACACCTGCCGTTTAAAGCAGGAGCCATTAGGGCGTGCCTGGGTGGCTTAGGGAAGCATCCAATTCTTGATTTGACTTTTTTTTTTTTTAATGGTTGTTTATTTTTGAGAGTGGGAGAGACAAAGGGCAAGCAGGGGAGGGGCCGAGAGAGAGGGAGACACAGAATCCGAAGCAGCTCCAGGCTCTGAGCCGTCAGCACAGAGCCCGACGCGGGACTCGAACCCACAAACAGTGGGATCATGACCTGAGTTGAAGTCAGCTGCTCATGACTGAGCCACCCAGGTGCCCTTTGATTTGACTCTTGATTTAACTCTTGATTTTGGCTCAGGTCTTGATCTCATGGTTGGTGAATTCGAGCACCACACCAGGCTCTGTGCTGACAGTGCAGAGCCTGCTTGGGATTCTCTCTCTCCCTCGCTCTCTGCTCCTCCCCTACTCATTCTCTCTCTCAAAATAAATAAATAAACATTTTTTTAAGTATAAAAAAATTTAAAAGCAGGAGCCAGTAGTACCAAGAGGCACTTTTATCAAGTCATAACTTCAACCTCATCTGGCCCATGTATTCAGAGGAGAGGACAACAGTGTTAACCCCAAAAGTCCGGGAGGACTGTGAGATCCTCTGCACCCCAACTCCCAGACTTCCAGGGCTGGATTCCTAGAGCAGAAACTTCTAGCTTTGCCACCCATTGAAGGGTCCTGAAGTCCTGTGGTTTAAAGCATTGGTTGTCCCAATCATCAAATGTCAGCAAAAATTCCTCCTCATCCACTTATTAACCTTGGGCAAGTCACTTCAGTGCTCTGGGCATCATTTTCCTCATCTGGGAAATAGGAGGAAGAAGTTCTAGAAAGCACCCCACAGGCTGGTGAGCAGTAATGCACCTAGCAGTGAGCCTGGCACAAAGTAAGTGCTCAGTAAACGGGCTGGTATGATATGATATGCTGTGGATTGTTTCCTACGGTGAGGGTCCAGTGTAGTAACTGTCTGTGAGGGCTTGAGGAGGGTATAGCATTCCTGTCTCCTGGTAATAATACCCTGGTTTGCTTGAGGAAGCTGCCCATTCCTTCACATGGGGTCATTTTTTGCTCCCTGGGGCTGACCAGATCCCACCCCATCAGATTGGACCATCTGACTCCGGAAGGGCCAATCAGAGTGCCAGATGCCTGGTGAATCTGCATAATCCCACCCTTTCTGGCCTGAGTGATCATTTCAGGGATGGGAACAGGCCCTTGGCTCTTGCCAGCAGAGTGAATAGTGGGTCCCTGAAGACTGAACACTCAGGAAGAGAACTTTGTTTCCTGCTGCACTGGAGGCTTTGTAAACGAGGTAGGGAGGAGCTGGCAGCCTTCTTGCCCCTGCAGGGAGCCTGAGGATAATGCTAACATAGAGAAGACAAAATGGTGAGAGACTGAAATTTGGGGACATCATCCAAACCCCAGGACGTAGCCAAGCCTGAAGACACCTCTGGGTCATGTCCAATTACATGAACTTACATATGCTCTTAAAACAATCTGAGGGGGGCGCCTGGGTGGCTTAGTCGGTTAAGTGTCTGACTTTCGCTTAGGTCATGATCTCGCGGTTCGTGGGTTCGAGCCCCGTGTCGGACTCTGTGCTGACTGCCAGCTCAGAGCCTGGAGCCTATTTCAGAGTCTGTATCTCCCTCTCTCTCTGACCCTCCCCTGCTCACGCTGTCTCACTCTCTCTCTCCTAGAAATAAATAAAAATATTTTTAAAAAAATAAATTAAAAAAAAACAATCTGAGAGAAGTTTTCTATCATTTGTAACCAAAATGAGTTATCATCCTGAAGTGCCTAGACCCATTTAGCACACAGAATAAGCCCCTACTGTGTGCTAAACATTTTGGGGAATCTAATGGTAAGTCAGCCTTCAAGGCGTTATGAATTCTGTCCGGGGTAAAACAGTGCAAAAGACTCTGCAAAGGAGGTGAATTTTAATTTGGGTTTTGAAGGATGAATAGGAGTTCACCAAGCAGAGAAGAAAAGTGAGGAAGGAATCTGGGTAGAGAGAACTCCCTGGGCAAAGACTAAGAGGCAAGTGGATACAAGGAGTATTCAGAGAATGGTGTGTCATCTGGTATAGGCAGCAGCATCCAGTGAGAAGTGATGGGCAAAGAAGTCTGGGAAAGCCTGGACATTCCTTAAAAGCAAGGACCTAATAAGATCAGTGTGTAAGAGAGCTCAAGTTGAGGTAAAGGCTATAATGGGATCTACTTGACTGATAAGGTTTAGGCAAAGGATAGTCACTTTGGAACCTTTTTCTACTCTGGAGTTTTATGCAGCTCTAATTTCATATTGTCCAGGGGCTTTTCTATGCTTAAGGCTTCTTTTGGACCTAAGTGGATCTGTGATATACCTTTCTAAAAACATGACTCAGGTAAACCTGATATTCACTGACAGTGTGAGTCTACCTCTCTGAACCTCAGTCTCCTCATCTGTAGAATGGGGATACCCGCACCCACCTCTTAGCATAAACTAATGTGTATAAAGCTCTTAGTGCAGTGCCTAGCACATAACAGGCATTTGGTGAATGTCCCTTGCCTGTGAATCAGGATCATCAAATAACAGTTTCTCTTGCCCTTGAGGTATTTGGTTGTGCTGTGTTTTCCCCCAGAAGCTGGAGGCACCATTAACCTCCTACCTATTTGCTGATCCTCACTCACACACAGAGCCCCCCACCCCCACCCCTGGGCTCTTTCCAGCTTCCAGACACAGGCCTCTTCCTCTCTGTGCCCATGGGCTGGGACTATCTGTTCCCTATGGAGAGATTCACCTCCATTCTCACAGCTGGGCCTTCAGAAACCCCACACATATCCCGGCCCCTGGCTCACCACCCTCTTATTCAAGGGTCTCAAACTTGAGGCCCTTGAGCAGATTCAACCTACCTTCGGTCCTGGTTAGAAATCAGTGTTATAAAACGTGAATGTGAGTAGTGTACTTACTCTCCGGACGGCAGACTCCACTTCTCCCTAGTGCCTAACGCCTCCCTCCAATTCCCACACCCCTGAAACTGCCTGGAGCTAGCCGGAATTCGAGATGGCAGTTCCTGAGAGGAACCTCAAAGCTTGTCCCCTTCTGAGGAGCGGTGGATGCAATGGAAAATGCTGAGAAGTCCAGAGGCCCAGGACAGGGATCACCAGGCACATGTCATCTGGTGCTCTGGGCCTCAGTTCATCTACTACAGTATCTATAGTCTTGGGCACATGAGAAGCTCTTAGCAAATAGTGTTTGAATGAATGAAGTCTCCTCCTGGGCATAGATCATCTTTACCAACTAATATGTAATTAGCTGGGGTAAGGGAGGCAGGGTCCTTCCTCTGCTGCTGAATTTTAACAATCTGCTACTAAAGGAAAAACCAGACCATGACTACGTGGGTTATAAAATGCCAGGTCTGAGAGAGAAGCTGGGCCTCCGTCTGTAAAAACTGAGTGAAGGCTGCCTAACTTGGTAAGTTAAAGGTACGCTTGCTAAGCAGGGGTGCAGAAACACAAAAATTTAAAAAAAATTTTTTTTGAGATCTTTATAGGGGGAAATGGAAGTTTGTTGGATTTTTCTTGACCTTGTTTTACGCATTGTAACTTATTTATGTTTAATTGAGGAGGATTTTGACATTTTCCCGAATTGAGCGGGTGGTAGGAATGGGCTGGGGGCAGCCGCCACGTCTTTGCTTTTCCCCAGCAGGGGGAGCTGTGGAGCAGCCAGCGTGGCAGCCACGGCGGTGACACTTACCAGGGGCCGGTGGCCGCAGCCGCGCGTCCGACCGCTGGAGCGCCTGGGGGTGCGATGTCACCGAGGGTCGTGCTTGCCGCGCGGCCCCGCGGCGCCCACCCCCAGACCCGCGTCTGGGAGTTCTCGGCCCCCTGGAACCCGCGCCTTTGTGACCCGCACAGACGGGCGTTCTCCGCTGGAAGGCGCTGGGACAGCGCAGGGCCAAAGGGGATGGAGAGGAGGTGGGGGGTGGGGACGCGGCACACCTCTCAGCGACCCCTTCCCAGGCCAGCCGCACCCCCACGTCCCGAGTCACGGGCACTCGGAGCGCCACGCGCCGGCCTTGCAGGCGCGCCCTGGTCGCTGGCATCTCCATGCCTCTCCCTCTCGGTCTCCCGCGGAACAGCCTCCACTCGCATGAAAGGCACCCGCTTCCTCCTGCTCTGCTAAACAAGAAAGCGAGAATCGAAGAGAAAAAAAAAAAAAAAAGAACTCCACCAGTGCAGGGGGAATTTGCCCATCATTTTTCTTCAAGAGCACCCCCACCCACCCTCTATGAGCTTGACACGGGGAACCCCCAGTCCGACCCAGGTCACCCGATGTGAGCATTTTTCACTGACCAATTGGAGTCTGGTGGCTTAAAGACAAACATTTTTCATACAAATGGCCCTTAACACAAGCCAGCCGCTTCTCCTGGGGCTGAACTCAAAAAGCAGCCTCACTGCTCAAGGCAAATGATTGGCGGTACTGGTTCTCCAGGGCAATTTTGATTCCATGTGATTTATGCCTTACCTGCTAGGCCCTGGAATTTATTGTAGCTCAGCCATTCTAAGAGCTCCATTTTTCTTATCCCTAAGCCCTCAGGACAGAGCGTGTTTTAAAACTTAACCACATTTTTGGTTTCAGAAAGGTAGTATGGTGCACGAGGAAGCTCGTGGTCCCTGTTCACTGGCAGCCATGTTGTAACCATAAGGAAAGTTAGTGCAATGGCGTATGATGTACGGGGTTTGGGCAACGTGTCATAATCAAACACATTAACATTTCTGCGGGAAAACATCTGGATACTCACGCCAAGTAGAATAAGGATTTTGAGCAGCCTCGTGTCAGGGCTTGATTCACGTGAAGCATTTGGGGACAAGTGTTAGCATTCTCATTTTACAGATGGGGAAACTGAGGCTTGAAGAAACAGAGTGACTGTTGCAGCAATCAGAGAAGCCAGGACTGGAATCCAGGGCTGTCTGGACCCCCCATGTCTTACCACAACCCTGAGTGAACAGCCCCAGACCCTAGAAGCAATTCTGGAACCTGGTATCCGCCACGTCCCTGATATTTAAAGGGCCACTGTAGCCCTCTGCTCCATGCATAGCCTAGTGACTCACACATTTCAGGTGTCAACGACTGAAAAATGATTAAGTTCAATTAGGTTCAGGACTTGTTAAAAATAGGCTCTCGCTCAGAAGAATTTACTCTCCCTGCCTTTATGGGCACAGATCTCAGCAGCCCCCATGCAGAGAAGTGCAAGGCTTTTTAAATTAGAACATGCCAGAATTGATTCTGCTAAAGGGATCTTCGGCTCCACCAGCAGGGCTTGGAGCAGACTGAGATGCCAGCTGGCCAAAGCAAGGAGCCAGCGGTGAGAAATGTTGGCGATAACAGAGTCTACAGAATGAAGGAGGAAATTAGAATCAGGCTGCAGCAAAATCAGGCTGGGCAAAGGCATTTGGCTACAGGCCAGGAAGCTGATTGTCCAAATGATTCTTTGGCTACAAGGATCAGAAATCCACTTGAAATGATTCAAAATGATTTCCCCCCCTTCTCCAGCATCTGCTCGCCCTTCTTCCTCCCTAGCTGATCCCAATTTGTTCAGGTAACCAGCCCTCTCCCATGCAGCCCACGTGACCAGAAATTGATCTTCACGGGTACCTCCAGGGTAAATTTTGATTATCCTTAGCCAATCACAACCTTTCCATCCTCCTTGCTGATGATTGGATCAGGAAGCTAAGTGCAAGCCAATCAGTGCATAGCATTCTCCTGGAGCCTGCGACTCATTCAAGAATAGGTACATAACTTACAGTGGCTTAATCAAACAGAAAGGAAGTATTTATAGTTCATGGTTGGAGGGGATGCTTTTTCTAGCTCCATGGATGGGAACAAGGAAGCATGTTGTCCCTGTTGTTGATAGCAGACCTCTTGTAACCATGAGAGAAGCCAGTAGGAGATCAAAGCCAACACATGATGGAGGCAAGAACCTAGAAAGAGTTTCAAAGCAATATACCTGGAACTCTGATCATACCATGCCTGAAACCCACCCTGACTTTGCACTTCCTATTATAAGAATAAATTTTCTTATTGCAGCCCAAAGCAGGCTAAACTATATGACTACTAGGGTTATCATGAGTAAACTTGAGGTGCATGTCCATGGAGAATAAGAACTAAGAACTTAGAAAGTTAGTGGAGACCAAGTCAGCTCTTCTCTCCAGCTCTGTCTCTCAAACTATCTGACCTGTCAACCTAAACTCTTGTTTTTATTTTTATTTTTAAAAGCGAATTCTACCGTCAATGTGGCACTTGCACTGACAACTCTGAGATCAAGAGTTTCAGCTCTAGTAACTGAGCCAGCCAGGTGGTCCTGATCCCTTATTTTTTAAGACTTTTTTTTTTTTTGGCTTTCCCTTCCTTCCTAGCTTGCTTCTTTTGCGTTTTCTCACTTTGGAGCCCAGTTAAAAAAAAAAAAATCAGTGTTCTAATCTCGACTTCTTAGGAAAGAGAATCCAACTGGCCTGGTCTAAATTTGATATTCACTGTCGGCCCAATCATAGCGGATCAGGGGACCATGATCAGGGGACACAATAGCCCCTTTGTAGGAACTGTGAAAGTAACTCTCAGGAAAGAGGGGCACAGGCAGGGAGGGCAGAGTGTTATAGTGGAGAGAACACTGGACAAATTCTTAAGATGCTCAGGTGTTACTCCTGGCTCTGCCACTGATTTGCTGTGTGCCCTTAGAAAAGTCAGTTGACCTCTCTGAGCCTTAAATTCTTGAGACTGCCAGGACCAAACTGAGAACGTTAAAGACTAAAAAGGTTGTGAAATATTTCACTCTGCCTATGGATTCAAAATAAAAATAGTAATCCATAAGAGAAGGGGCAGACAGTCTGATGAGATTCTAACTTTTGCCATAACAGTTTTTTTTAAGTTTATTTATTCTTGAAAGACAAATAACTTTGGAAAAAGCAAATATAGTTTGAGTGTCCCTAGTTCACCTTGATGGTTTCAGATTCCTCCTCAGCGGGATCCAAAACTGATTTCCTCTTGGCCTTCCTTCCATGAAAGCCCAAATCAGCAATTATAATCTCAATGGCAGACTTCTAACATAAGGTATGATGAGGCCTCCACATTCTTCAGAAAATAATGTGGCCTCACACATCAAGAGCTGTAAAAATGTTTACACTCTTCAAACCAGGAAACCTAAGTCTGGGATTCTTCCTGAGAAAATAAGTCAAAGGCGAAGGAAAGAAAGAAGGAAAGAAAGAAAGAAAGAAAGAAAGAAAGAAAGAAAGAAAGAAAGAAAGAAAGAAAGAAAGAAAGAAAGAAAGAAGAAAGAAAGAAAGAAAGAAAGAAAGAAAGAAAGAAAGAGAGAAAGAAAGAGAGAAAGAGAGAGAGAGAGAGAAAGAAAGAAAGAAAGAAAGAAAGAAAGAAAGAAAGAAAGAAAGAAAGAAAGAAAGAAGGAAGGAAGGAAGGAAGGAAGGAAGGAAGGAAGGAAGGAAGGAAGGAAGAAAAAGAAAGAAAAAAGAAAAGAAACCCACAGACACAAAGATGCCCCTTGTAACATTATCTCTAGGGACAAGTGGAAATAAGGAAAAAGCAACAAAATAGCCATGTGGAGTGAAAGAAGCCAGACTTCAAGTAGCTCGTGCTGAAGGGTGTCCTTTATGTAAAGTACAAAACTGGGGAGAATGTCCTGTGTGATTAGAAGTCAGAATACAGGTAGTCTGGTGAAAGGGAGCTGGAACAGACATAGCTGGTGGGGAGTCAGGGGGCTTCCAGAGTGCGAGAATATTCCCTATCTTGCTCTGGTTACATGGATAAGCTCACTTGTGAAAAAAACTCATCAGACGGTGCACTTCTGATGTATACTCTTTGTATATGCATATAGTACTTCAATAAAAAAGTTTTCCACAAAGATGAATAAGAGGGTTTAAAAAATTTTTTTGAATGTTTATTATTTATTTTTGAGAGAGACAGACACACAGACAGACACAGCATGAGCAGGGGAGGGGGAGAGAGAGAGGGAGACACAGAATAAGAAGCAGGCTCCAGGCTCTGAGCTAGCTGTCAGCACAGAGCCAGACATGGGGCTTGAACCCAGGAACCGTGAGTGAGATCATGACCTGAGCTGAAGTCAGACACCCCAAGAGGGTTTTATTTTATTGTATTTTTTAAATTGTGGCATATCAATGAGACATTCTGGAATATTGAAAAATAATTAGAAAAATAACCACATCTCTTGGGCATATGCATAACACAACACTCCTGTATCAGTTTGCCCACCCTAGGCCAGTTCATTCTCTACCCTTCTCTGCCAGCCCAGTGTCCACATCGTCCCTGGGCTCCCTCGCCTACCGGTTTCCAGCTGGGCATGGAGCCAATGGGAGGGGCCAGCAGGAGATCAGAGGCAGGGGGAGAGGGAGGCAGGGCATTGCCTTCAAACTCCTTCTGTGACGGAGCACCGCGTCTCCAGCTACAGCTTCTGTCTAGATGGCTACCTCCCCGGGCCTCTCTGCGCTCCGGTCACTCTGATTCCTTCCTATCTTCCTGTTAACTGTAGAGTTGACAAACTAAAGCTGGGAGTTTCCACCCCAAGACTTCATGTTATGTCAGATTAAATTAAGCATCTCATTTCCTAAGTCTTTATGAAGGGTAGTAACGGCTTCCCTCTGTTGCTCATCTCTCGGTGCATCAACCTCCCTTCTCTGACCCCCTAACCCTGTCCACACTCTGAGAAAATCCCCTTCTTTAAAGTCCCTTGAGTCAGATTCAGTTTTCTTCGGGGGCTCTGCTGGTCACAGCCCTCCGCGCATGCCCCCCCCCAACTTCCCCTG